CCCCTTCTAGCCGAGTGCCGGGTTCTATACATTCGGGTGACCGAGTAGCCTTCGTGGACCCTCGAGAATAAATATACAGCTGAGCCTAGTCCACCTAGTCCCATACGACTGCTTGCGGTCCCCCTCATCTGAATCTTCTTTTTGTTTTATCGAAGCTTTGGGACAGGGCGCTCGTGTTACTTTTTCTTTCTTTCGGGATTTTCCCAGGAGTTTTGAGGATTTTTTTTTACTTGAGTCTTTTTCGTTGATTTTCTCGAGTTTTCCGTTTTTTCTTGGGTTTTCTGCACGACGTTTCTTTCAGACTTCGTTTTTTGCGATGCATTTAGGCTTGTTATACTTAAGGAACATCGCGGATCTCACGGGCGTACATGTTTGCTTTACATTTTACAGCACTTAATTATCCTGTTTTTACCTACTACCGTACTGTAAAGCATGTTACACTTGTCATGTTTCTACCTGCTACTGTTCTTCATGTATAGCATGTTATACTGCTCATGTTTTGTCTACTACTGTTCCACGTGCATTCCATTGTTTGTTCATGCATTGTACACTTTATAATATATAATTTCAAACATGTTTCCTTTTTGCATAGGATGTTTTGAGGACTACAACCACAGGGCCGTTTGCTTTAACACTGTAAATGGACACCCCTGCACCTCGTCACGTCGGGGAGCTTGGCGCTAGCGCGGTGGGCAGCACGACCATCTACAACAGCAGAACATGTCTTCCCCAGCAAAATCATTCCCTTTCCTAGAAATTAAACATCAATCCATATGTTTTCGAGGTTGTTTGCCTAGCTCAACATAAATCCTCCACCTTTTCTTTAGGGATTCGTATAGCTCTGCTGTACGATTTAAGCCCTAACTCGTTCTAAGGTTTCGAGATTGTCGTCCGATACGACGTAAACCCTCATGTCTTCTAGGCGATTTGTGTGACCATGTCACGCAAATATATTATGCCATATTGACAAATATATTAAAGTTGTGTGGTCTGAGAAGCATACTTTACAAGAATGGATTTGAACCAAACCATAGGATAGACTGGGAAGTCACCGAGGTTCGCCTCCGGATCTATGACCTCCCATAGTTTCTCTTCATTTGGATTCCTCAACAATATTTCAGATTCGATCCTTTCCCCTTTCACACCTCTTCGTTCGATTTCGTTGAAAAGTCCCAGCCTTTTGACTTACAGCCTTTTGACCTCTTTGAAGATAATATTTCCTGATTTTCTTAGGTGACTTTGGTCATTTAAGATGTAATTAACTATAGGGGTTTGCCTTTATAGGAAGCTTTTCCGAACCCAACCTAAAATAAACCTTATTTAATTTTTTGTATTAAATAGGTGAACTTGTCGGCAAATAAAACGGTTTCGTAGACCAAACGAATGTCATATATTTCTTAGTTTATTTGATCGAGCCTCATCCTCAAGTCTTGTGTTGATCCCTCGGGATAGATACAGGATTTGAGGTATAGCGCTCTTTCATTTAAACTGTGAAAAATATGAGGTCAGTTTGATTTCATAGTTTTTTCTAAAACTATATATATGTAAATTAAACGTCCTTCCGAAGCGGGCGACGAGATTCTGATTCTAATGACTGACAGCTTCTAATGGGCAACTCCTCTAACCAAAACAAACTCTTTTTAGCTGCTGACAAACGGCCGACACAATGTTGGGTTGATTTCTTATTAAAATCTTCAGGATTCCTGAAATACTATTTTGCACGGTTGCCAAGATAACCAATCTTGAAAATATGGGCAGAAAACATGTATTTTTCAACAGTTAACATTGATAGGTACAGAAACAGAGCACCAGCAGCAACTATAGCATCAATGAAAACAGGAACACCACCATGACACAACTACCATCAACAACAAATTATTTGGTTTCTCTGAAAGTAATATTGTCAGATAGAAACACAGCGCTTCATTATACATCTTTCATGTAAAATTATACAAGTTAAAATATGTTCACTTTATATAAAGGTTTTGGGACGCATTGAATTTGTTGTATTCCATTTGTGGCCATTTCTGTGAAGCTTTAGTTTTGCAGGCTACAGATGGAACCTTTAAAGAGGAACCCGGATCTGGTGCAATAGCCACAGTTGAGCGGAGAACAGTGACTATAGGAACACTTGATTGGCTTAGAAGGTTCGAGATTAGAAATTTTTCCATAATAAGACATTTTTAGGATTTAGTTATTATTTATTTTATACAGGCTTTGCTTAATAGGATTCTATGCCAACCGCAGAAAGTTTATTGTCATCTTTTATTCACTTTTATTTTGTTTGCAGGCATGGAGTTGACTCAGATTCGTTTCCAGATGTTGAACTCAATAATCACTCAGTTGTATATGTAGGAGTAGATAGCACTTTAGCTGGGCTGATTTACTTCGAGGATAAAATAAGGGAAGATGCTCGTGAAGTTGTTGAAAGGTTGTCGAAGGAAGGACTTGATGTATATATGTTATCTGGAGATAAAAAGAAGGCTGCTGAACATGTAGCTTCTATTGTTGGTATTGACAAAGACAAGGTGCAGACCATCTAACTTTAATCATTCGGACAAATAAAGTCCTATGGCATCACATAATGTCTATTTCCCTCCTAGCACTAGTAATTTATTTTCAAGAGTGAAGTACCAAAATATTGCCCTAATTATTTATATGGGGTTATTTTAATCCCAAAGTTAATAAAAGTGCTAAATTAGTTCTCAGACTCTTTTAATGGTGCTTATAATAGTCCCGTTAGGGATTATTTCAACCCATATTAGAAGTGTTTGAGGGTTAAATTGATATTTTTATAAACTCTGGGTTTAAAGCGACAGCTGCAGAGAGTTAGCAGACCATTTTGACACTTAACTCTTATTTTTAAGTAAGTGTTCGTATGGTACATTTATCTTCTACTTTTTTTTTCATAATTAGTAATTGGGAAAGATCTTGAATTCAAAAGATTTAGTGCTCCTTAGTATTAAAATAGTCAGTATTATTAGTTCATTATCTTTGTAATCCTTAATTATACTTCTTTAAGGTTCTGTGGTCGTGGTATATTCGTTTATACACCACAGGTATTTTCCGAAGTAAAGCCTGAGCAGAAAAGCAATTTCGTTCGGGAGCTTCAAAAAAGCGGAAAAGTGGTTGCCATGGTTGGAGATGGCATCAATGATGCTGCTGCGTTGGCTTTATCTGACATCGGGATTGCCATGGGTGAGGGGGTTGGTGCTGCTAGTGATGCGTCTTCCATAGTGCTTATGGGTAATAGATTATCACAGGTATGTGGAGGTGCCTTCTCATTTGGAGCAGTAATTATTTTTAATGAGACATTTATGACTAAAAATGTTTCCAGCCTCCGTTGGAATATTATGAATCGTGTTGAATAGACTATCCTTGGTTTATGTTGTACTCAGACTATATTTTCAGAGTTCGCATCCTGTTTTGTTTTGAAATTCAAATTCTTTAGAAGTGAAATAATTTTATCTGGTATTGGTCAAAATTTAAATAGTTACGATTGCACATCCTGTTAGTCATGCTGTTTATTTAATTTATAGATTAAATGAGAAGGAGTTAACTAATGGGAGCCAATTATTCGGGGATAGTGTTTTGTTTTCTAGATTTTTTTTTTTATTTCCTAACAATTTTTACTTATGTCCTTACAATTATTCAGGGATTGTGTTGAATGTGCGGCCATAGGCCTGTGGAATTCCCCCATAGTGAATTAATTCTCTTCCATTCTTTTACTTATATTGGCATGGATGTGTGTAGAATTGCAAAATTTTTAGGGACATTGCAGTTTAGGTTGCAATTCGTCACGACCCAACCTAATAGTTTTAGAATTAACCAAGTCAGGAACAACGGTTGGATAGTATTGGCCTTTCTTTTAAATCATTCAATAATCCAACATAATTTCCAATAATAAAAAGAGTCACTAAAAACTACAATATACACTAAATGAAAATTTAAATCATTCAGAAACAACAACATGATCTACAACTAAAATATCTTAAACCAATACACAACAATATATCACTACACAATAGTACAGTACAATAATTGCAACAACAATATAATATGTATCAATAACAGTCCTTCTGTAAATTATATTTATTTTGTCAGACATATCAATCTATAATATTTTATGAAAGAAATAATTAAATTTAACAGTAAATTAACAGTAAAATTTTTACCACTTAATGAAAAATTACAATCCTAGTATGCATTAAATTAATATGCAAATGTTATGTTGGAATGCCCTAAGGGTATGCAATTCATTGATAAATCAAAACCATAAGTTTCATTTATAATTTAACATTTTTCTGTTTCAATTTAAGTATTTATTATTTTTAAACTCTTTAAGAAGTCATATCAGGATTTTCGTCGTACTTGAATGTATTTTCAAAATTTTACTAGTAGGCACTCAAAATTTTTGCACCCGAAAGTACAGTTTTACCCTTTTCATTTTGTCTTTGTACGGGTACATCACGTTCTCTGTCAGTACTATCTGGAGGTAAATGACTTAAGTCCTTAAATTTTATGTTCTTTAAATTACCTTCTTTCAAGGATATTGAACAATCATTTTCCCTCATCATTTCATTTATTTGAATGATTCTTTTAACTTATAAGATGCATATAATTATAAAAAAAGTATCTGAAGCAATAATAAAAGTTTTTATAAAATAAAACATCAATTTAATACTTCTAAGAAAGTAATCACTCACCTTTGCCTTAAAAGACCTTGGTAAAAACTTATTCTCTCACTTCACTTCCTTTGACTATCATGTATATCAGTTAAAGGTGCATATATAAGAATCTCATCCTAAAAAGAAAGACATAAATATAGTTAATTTATTTAAATATTTTTTTTTTTCCAAATACCTTTAGAATAAAAAATTGTTTCAATTCTTATCGCTAATTCTACTCATGAAAACTTAAAATCTATCTAATGACATATAATTTAAAATGACATAAATAAGCATATAAATCATTTCCTTCAAAGGTTTGGTTTGTTTTCATGTACACATGATTTTTCTTTTCCACTTACAATTCGATTTGATCCGCCCTTTGATCTTCTACCTTTAATTTCTAATTAAGTTAAACAAACTATTAGCATTTAGTAAATAAATATACAATTTCAATTCAATTAATTAACCTTAATAAAACCCTAAATACCTTATTAAATTATTTAGGGCCCGTTTGGGGCAGCTTATAAGTGCGGGTGGCGTTTGCAAGACGCCACCTCACCGTTTGGAAAACGCGTTTCGATAGTTTATCCAAAAACGAGGTTGGGTTTTTACACTAAACGCAGGTCGCGGGTAGATTTTGATAGCTTATCCAAAAACGCGGTTGGGTTTTTACACTAAACGCAGGTCGCGGGTAGAACCCTGCGGGCCACGTTTCAGGATAAGTTGCTTATCTAGATAAGCACAAGCTGCCCCAAACTCTGCGGGCCACGTTTCAGGATGAGTTGCTTATCTAGATAAGCACAAGCTGCCCCAAACGCACACGCTAAGTCTTAAATGAGAGCTCTGTTCTGCACGCACGAGCCAACTCCACTCTCTTCTTTCTCTTCTTTGATGAGACATGGAACAAAACACTGTCGCCTTCTTCCTTTCGCTAGAGCACAACGCCAGCCATAGGTGCTCAAGCACCCCATAAGAGCGCAACTACAGTGGAGCTGATTCTTAGGCGTCGGCTTTGGGTGCATATGCACTGCTATAGAGCAACCACTGCTCTTTTCCCTGAGAGATCGGTGCATGGTTGCCAGTCTATTGGCGGCTAGACACTCATTTTTGGGTGTCGATACAAAGTGCTTGGCGCTTAGGCGCCAAGTTTTGGGTGCCTAAGCGCTCAGTGAGTTAATACATGAAAAATTGGTTTATAAGTTGAGCAGGTTTCTTTATTCTAAATTCTTCAACGAGCATCCCGGTGAATGTAAGGAGTGTCGAAGAGATGAATTTTGTTGATTCAACGTGTTTTTTACATCAGATTGGAGAGAGAAGATTGTTGGTGCAAGTCTTGTAAGTTTCTTCGCATGAGTGTGGAGAAAAAACTTGTGTGAGTTATTTGTAAACTTTCTGAATTACATAGTAAAATTTGTGGTGGCATGACTCAGTGGTTTTTTCTCGTTTTTGGTTTTTTCATGTAAATTTCTTGTGTGCTTTTCTGATTTCTTTAATTGTGTTTTTTAAATTTTGTTCTAGTTTTCTCGAATCTTGTGATCGTATTCCGCTGTGAAATTAGATGGTGACTCTTTTGGAGTAGTTTTCTTAACAAACTAGTATCAGAGCGGGGTTCGATTTGAGTGGGAGCATTGATCGAAGAAGCAAGGTTCAAAGTGGAGAAGTTCAGTGGGACGAACTTCGCTTTTTGGAATATGCAGATAGAGGATTTGTTGTATCATAAAAAATTGTACTTTCCACGACAAGGAATCATAAAAAAGTCTGAATCTGACTATGGGGGAATATCAAGTCTTTGATTGAACGACACTGGTTTGATCAGGTTGACACGTTCCTCATTTATTGCGTTCAAAATTGTGAATGTGAAAACTTCGGTGGATCTCATGGCTGCACTAGCCAAGATGTACGAAAAACCTTCTGTTTTCAATAAGATTTTCTGGTAAAGAAGTTATTTAACATGAAGATGGTGGAAGATAGTTCAGTGGCATAACCTCTCAATAACTTCAATACTGTGACAAACCAGTTGTGTTCTGTAGGGATCATGTTGATGATAAGGTCAAAGCACTAATGATACTATCTTCATTGTCAGAAAGATGAGATGACTTAGTAATGACGGTGAGTAATTCTTTGGGGACTTCAAAGTTGAACTTTGATGATATTGTGAGTTTAATGCTGAATGAAAAAGTTCACAAAAAAACAACAAATAGTGAATCTTTAGGTTTTGCGTTGAATGCTAATAACAGAGGAAGGAATCTGGGTAGGAATACAAACAGAGGCAGATCCAAGTCCAAGAAAGTAAAGCCCAAGTCAAATATAGGAGTGTTGGAACCACGGTAAGCAAGGGCATTATAAGGACTGCAAAATACCAACGAAAGTTGGTGGTGTAGGACAGGAAAACAGTCTTTCTATTAATGTCTCCACATATGAAATCCAAAATGACTCTCTGGTGTTTTCTCAAGTAAGCACCGAATCCTGGATATTGGATTTGTCTCTTTTCATGCTTGCCTAATAAAGAGGTATTTAAAAACTACACTCAAGCGATCTAGGGATTTTTTATTTAGAAGGTAACAATGCCTATAGTGTAGTAGGAAAGGGTGATATTGATATTAATTTGTCGAATGGATCAATTTGGAAGCTTACTGAAGTAAGACATGTTCCAAGCTTGAAGAGAAATCCTATCTCTGTGAGCCAGTGGACAAAGTCAGGACTCATGACTACTTTCACAGGTGATTCGTGGAAGGTGACCAAGGGGCATTGGTGATGGCTTGGGGCAACATTGAAGGAATCTTTTATCTGATCAACCAAATGACTGATTTCATTGATGTGGCTGAAACATGTTTGTGGCATCGTAGGCTTGGTTATATGAGCGAGAAAGGTATGAAGTCCCTGTTTTCAATAAATAAATTTCAGAATTTGAAATCAGTTGATTTATATTTCTATGAAGATTGTGCATACTGACTATGAGGTCTAGTTCAGTTCATTGGAGGTCTTGATATTTTGTCACATTCATTAATGATCGCACGAGACATGCATGAGTTTATTTCTTACAGCAGAAATCTAATGTATTTGAAGTCTTCATAAAATGGAAGGCTATGAGAGAAAATGAGATAGACTTGAAGCTAAAGTGTCTCAGATCAAATAATGGGGGTAAATACCATGATCAAAAGTTCAGGAATTTCTCTACTACAGAGGGGTTCAGACATGAGTTCATTGTCCCAAGGACACCGCAGTAGAATGGTGTGGAGGACACCGCGGCAGAATGATGTGGCTGAGCGCATGAACAAAACAATCATGGAGCGTGCTAGGAGCTTGTGACACAGTTTTAGGTTGAAGCAGTTGACACTGCAGTTTATCTGATAAATCGTAATCCATCAGTACTTTAGGAGGAAGGCTTACCTGAAGAAGCTTGGGTGACAAAAATGTATGTCTATCTCATTTAAGAGTATTTGAGTGTTTTGCTTATGTACATGTAGATGCAGGGTCCAGGAGGAAGCTTGACTCAAAATCTGTCAAGTGCACCTTCATTAGATATGACTCAGATGAGTTTGGGTACAAATTATAGGATTATCAAAATAAAAAATTCATCAGAAGTAGAGACGTCACTTTCAACGAAATGGAGATGTACAAGGACCGGGTTAAAATTGAGGACATTTCGTCAGCTACTTTTGAAGAATCTATGTAGAGATAGATGATACTGGTGATCAGGAAAATGGACAAAGAACAAGTGCTAAACTAGAAGGAGCACTGGAAGTTCCTCAGTAGTCTGCTACAGAAGTCAGGAGACTCGACAGAGTGAAACAAGCATACAAAGGTATTCTCCTTCTTTACACTATGCACTGCATGTACATAGGCATAGGCATCGATTTATTTTAGTACAGTGGTGCATATTTTTCTATGCCCATCTACATGCAGTGGAGCTGCATGTACATAGGCATAGGCTTTGGTATGCACAATAGTACAGTGGTGCATATTTTTCTATAGCAGTGCTCATTTAAGAGTATTTGAGTGTTTTGCTTATGTACATGTAGATGCAAGGTCCAGGAGGAAGCTTGACTCAAAATCTGTCAAGTGCACCTTCATTAGATATGACTCAGATGAGTTTGGGTACAAATTATAGGATTATCAAAATCAAAAATTCATCAGAAGTAGAGACGTCACTTTCAACGAAATGGAGATGTACAAGGACCGGGTTAAAATTGAGGACATTTCGTCAGCTACTTCTGAAGAATCTATGTAGAGATAGATGATACTGGTGATCAGGAAAATGGACAAAGAACAAGTGCTAAACTAGGAGTACTGGAAGTTCCTCAGTAGTCTGCTATAGAAGTCAGGAGACTCGACAGAGTGAAACAAGCATACAAAGGTATTCTCCTTCTTTACACTAGTTATTGCTAACTGATAGTGGTAAACCAGAGTGTTTTGAGGAGATCACTCAGGTTAAAGATTCAAGAGAGTTGGAGCTCGCCATGGATGAAGAAATGCATTCTTTGGAGTCAAATTAGAATTCGGATTTGACGGTACTACCAAATGACAAAAGAACACTGCATAACAAATGAGTCTATAGGTTGAAAGAGGACTCTGATTGTAGCAAGCGCTACAAGCCAAGACTTGTTATGAAGAAAAAAGGTGTGCATTACACATAGATCTTCTCCCCAGTGGGGTGAAGATGACAATTGTAAATGTGTTGTTGAGTTTGGTAGCAGAGGAAAATCTACATCTCGAGCAGATTAATGTAAAAACAGTTTTCTTGCATGGAGATTTTGAGGAGGAACTGTACATGTTGTAATTACAAGGTTCCAGGTAAAAGTGTTTTGGTCTACAAATTGAAGAAGACTTTTTATGGCTTGAAGCAGACCCTGAGACAGTGGTATAGGAGGTTTGATAGTTTATGTTAGACAATGGGTACATGAAGTGCTAAACACACCACTGTTGTTTCATCAGACAACTTCAATAACTGTTATATTTTGCTTCTTTTGTATGTAGATGACATTTTGATCGCATGAGCAAATATGGAGAAAATATATGACTTGAAGAATTAGTTATCAAGTGAGTTCGAGATGAAAAATTTAAGTCCAACCAGGAAAATCCTCGGGATTAGAACCAGCAAGGACAGGAGTGCGGGAAGACTGAAGTTGTCTCAGATAGAGTATGTTGAGAAGATCCTACAGAGGTTCAACATGAGTGATGTGAAACTAGTTTGCACTCCCTTAGGTAGTCACTCCAAACTATCTAAGGATCGCCAAACTCTGAAGCAAAGCAAGCACAGATGGAGAGAACTTTATACGCTTAAGCAGTTGGAAGTTTGATGTATGCGATGATTTGTACCAGACAAGATATTGCATATGCAGTCGGTTTAGTCAGCAGGTACATAGACAATCCAGACAGAATTGGGAGGAGATAAAGTGGATTCTTAGCTAATTGAGAGGAACAATCAACAGGGCACTTTGCTATGGAAGTGCATGGATCAATCTACATGGATTTGTAGATTCAGATCTGACAGTAGATGCGGATAGTAGAAAAAGTACAACAGGGTATATCTTCACATTGGGGAACACAACAATGAGTTGAGTTTCCAAGTTACAAAAGATCGTTGCACTTTCAATTACGGAGGCCAAATATATTGCTGTGAGTTGAGTTTCCAAGTTGCACTTTCAATTACGGAGGCCAAATATATTGCTATCACTGAGGCTAGCAAGGAAATGATTTGGCTATAGAACTTCATGACAGAATTGGGCAAGAAGCAGGAGATTGGAAAGCTCTACAGCGACAGTATGAGTGTGATTCATCTTACTAAGAACATAGTTTTTTATGCGAGGACGAAACACATTCAGCTGAGATATCATTTCATTTGATCTCTTTTAGAAGATGGGCAGTATTTCTGGAAAAGATACATATAGCTTAAAATCCTACAGATATGTTGACGAAAGTGATGACTGTTGAGAAATTGAAGTTGTGCTTGTCTTCAATTGAGTTTTATGGAGGTTGAGACTGAGGGTGGGCCACACCACAGTACGTGATCACGGTGCGTGTCTATGAAGGCGATTTAGCTGGAGGTACAGGTACAGAGGACCAGTGCTCGGTGCTTTGTCTCCAAGTGAGAGACTGTTATGGTTTTTGTGGTGGTAAAGCATTCTAAACAGTTTTAAGGCTGGCACCTTGGGGCTAGCCATAGGCGCTGAAGTGCCCCATAAGGGCAGGCTTTGGGTGCACATGCGCTCACTATAGAGCTGGTGCTCCTCTTTTTCCCGAGAAACTGGCGCATGGGCGTTGGTCTAAGTGATCGGTGTGTTTAATACACGAAAAAATGGTCTTTAAGACAATTTTGAGCAGGTTTCTTTAGGCCTGTTGTTTTTTCTTCTGAATTCTTCGACTAGCATCCTGGTGAATGTGAGGAGTGTCGAAGAGGTGAATTTTGGTGATTCAGCGTAATTTTTGTGTCGGATTGGAGATAGAAGATTGTTGGTGCAAGTCTTGTAAGTATCTTCGTGTGAGTATGGAGAACAAAATTCTGTAATTTGTAAAACTTTCTGAAGTATATAGTTAAATTTGTGGTTGTGTGACTGTGGTTTTCCCGTTTTCGGATTTTCCACGAAAATTTCTTGTGTGCTTTTCTGGTTGTTTTGATTGTGCTTTCTTAAATTTTGGTTCTGGTTTTCTCAAATCTTATGATCCTATTCCGCGGTGAAATTAGAACGTGACTCTTTCGGAGTTGTTTCCTTAACACCTCCTTTGGCTACTCAAGCATCGAAGCCTCCCATGCACGCAAGCGGTGACTCGAGCATCGAAGTCTCTTGATCTCTCTGCTCTCTTCCCCGCTTTCCTGGTTTTATTGGTTTGAAAAGGGTATACAACTATTAAGTAGTGACTCAAAAGATGCGCTTATCCTTGGTATCTATTCATTAAATAATAATAATATTATTAAAATTTCAGTTATTACACAATTCATCATGCAATAGGTTTGCAAATCTTTTTCAAGCTAGCAAAATAGTGCAATTTTCCGATTGAGAAACTTGTAATGAACTAGACACAATTAACCATATGAGAGAAATAAAAGAATCAGGAAGAGAATTAGAGTTGTGGTTTTGCTTAGATCTAAACTACATCCAGATAACTATGCAAGGTTAATCTCATTAATGAGATTACAAAGTTTGGCAGTTTCATATCTCTTCTAGCTTTCAAGCCATATACACAAGCTACACCATCTTTCTTCTTCAAATAAAACTAGGATACAAGCACTCCTTGAGAAGACTCACAGAAGCCTTCTTTCTCTTTTTCTTAAGTCTCTAAAACCATGAGGTCTATGCCAAAGCCCTAGAAGAACCAAGATGGAAGCTAGAAGGTGGAGGTTCCTAAAAAGATCGAAAAACTCCTGCTCTTAAGCAAGTAAACCTTCTTCATCTTTTTTCCTTTTTTTTTTCTCCTTTTTGTACAACCATAAATCTCCATTTAGCCCATTGTTAAGTACGCTTGAATGACAGCCGTAAGCAGGCCACTTGATTGGATCCCATCTAGTGGCTCAAAACCTACTGCTCTTGGTAAATCTGTCTTTTTCTGAATTCTGTTGGGGGGCTTGAAACAAAAGTTGGCTTCACCTACACCATAGTTAACACAGCATACTACTTGAAACAAAAGATGAGATTTGGCTTCACCTACACCATAGTTAACACAGCATACTAACGCCTCATATCATTTGACAAATCTGTCTGTATGCTGGGACAATAAAACCTTTGATTAAAAAGATCCATTTTATTTAACTATAGTCTCCATATTGACAAAAAATTAATAATTTTTAGACACAGCAAGTGCATGTTCTTCTTTTAGGTTATATACTGATGTTAGCTAAGCAAAAAACCTTTATGAGAAAACCTTCTGCATCTATATTCAGATATTACGTAATTTGTCCATATCTTTTACCTTTGCGTCTATGGTTTTCTTTTTCTTTTATTATGGCACCTTCACATTGTCTGAAATTGTTTTGCAGTTGACTGAAGCACTGGAATTGAGCAAACAGACTATAAAGACAGTGAGACAAAACCTATGGTGGGCATTTGCTTATAACATTGTAAGCTTGTTAAATCTCGTGCTTCCCGCTTAATTTTAAATGACCTAATCTACAAGAAAATCAGTCCACGAGGAAGTATTCAAACTCCTGAAGGACAAAAGTGATGTATTTATTATCTGTTAAAACACATTAAAGACGGTTAATAAATAATTTAACACAAAATCTTCAAATAGGCTTAAAATTCAAAATCAAGTTGGAAACTTGCTTCATTATTTGTTATGCTTGTTCTTGGTATCTATACAGCAGCATAACATATATTTTTACAGGTTGGAATACCTGTTGCAGCAGGCGCACTCCTACCAATGACAGGGACCATGTTGACCCCATCTATTGCTGGAGCCCTAATGGGTCTGAGCTCTTTAGGAGTGATGTCAAATTCATTGCTTTTGAGACTCAGGTTTGCTATGAGTCATAAGAAGACAAGCAGTGTGCACAAGTATGATAAAGGCCAGGGATCTACATCAGATGTTTGTGTAGATATGAATGAGTCTTCTGAGAAGCCATACACACCGAAATGGAGAAGCAGTTGTGTCTAGTAGGAGAATCATGAAAGTATAATACAGTCAAGCTCTGCACTGTTGCAGCCATTTTCATACATGCTGCCTAATTTATATGTATTTACATATCGAATACTTAAATTTTATCTTTTATATTTACACTACTCGGATCTTTTATATAACAACGAAAGGTATTGTCATTTTAACTTCTAAAAAGTGAAATGTACCTTTTAGATAAGGTGGCATGAATGTAAAAATTAGAGCTTGTGTTGGATATGTAATATGTCAATCTTACAGTAGTTGTGTTCACATACCTAAGTACAATGGTAAGGCCAAACCGTCAAGGTCCAATGTTGTATTATATAGATAAATATATTAATGAAAAGATATTATAATTCAGACTAGCATTCAAATCACAAGGCAAAAAAATAATAAGATTTATATACACACCAATCAATTCTCATGTATTTACATATAAGGCTGTTAAAACGGCTTGTTGTTCACGAACAGCTCGTGTTCGGTTGGGGAAAACGGTTCGGTAAGAAGCTCGTGTTCGGCTTGTTAGGCTAAGCTAACGAGCCAAACACGAACAACACGAACAAATATTTATTTGATTGTGTTCGGCTCGTTTTGGCTCGAAATACTACTAATCAATTATATATATATATCTTTGATGAGTAGTATTTTAAAAAAAAATTAATTCTACAAGGCTACAAAGATTTATAATCAATTAAAAGTTTAATTAAGAAAATAGAATAAAAATTATTAAATTAGATTCAAATGATATTTTAAATCATGCCCCAATTCTTAACATCTTATGGCTACGTGATTAGGGTTGTCAAAATGACTCTTTGTTTGTGAACTGCTCGTGTTCGGCTCGCTAACCAAACGAGCCGAACACGAACACACTTTTTGAGCTTGAAATATAAACGAGCCGAGCATGAGCTGAGCCTGGCTCGCTCATGTTCTACTCGTTTACACCCCTATTTACATATCTTACACTTAAGATATATATGTCATTGTATCTATGATTGAAAATGAGTATTTATTTTTAAATGTTAAAATAGTAACATTTTTTATATTGTATAAAATATTTGGGTGATATAAATATAAAAGGTGTAGTATAGGTTTTAGATGTGTATGTAAATACCGAAATAATCAATCACCATTAATCACATTGTATCAAACGGTCAACCAAAAGTTATTTATTGTTTATTGAACTCAAATTTGATCAAATCAATATTAAAAATTCTTAAATTTCAACTTGAGATATGGCTAATGCGGTCTGATAGCTTAATTCCTATTTTTATCACTCATATCAACAACAAAATCAAAACAAGCAGAAGGATTTTAACAAGAAAAAGTATTTGGTATGGAATGTCTTGTCAAATCTTTTTAAATAATGAATTTAAAAGCCCTTGTATTGATCATTTATGTACCACACCCATTTAAAATCATATTCAACAGCTTTTGAGATATGCCATAACCATTTTATTTCGATAATAACTCAATTTACATGTCTAGCACCTAAACGTCAAATTTTATATGTCCCCTTATCTATGCATGAAAAATGTGTTTTTCACTTTTCTAACATTAAAACAATAATATTTTTGTGATATGATTTAGGTGATATAAGTATAAAAAATAAAGTTAGATGATTTATATGTATATACACAAGAATTGGGTGGTATTGATGCAAATGCTCCAACCACAATAACAAAACCCTATTCACAATCTCCCAACTTAGAAATCAAGCAGAATTCGTACCAAATACCCAGCAACAACATCCATCCAAGACATAAAACGACACCAAACCAGAAAATAAATAGAGTATTTGCACGATCATCATCATTACATCAGATAATTAACCCTAAACACAAATCCAAAACATCCATTAACTTGAAACAAGATGTTGCTGAACACCCCACCCATATCATCACCATTACTTGGACTCGAGATCAGTCACCAAAGCCAAACACATCTAATAAGATTAGAGAGCCAAACTCTGGCCTGAAATTAGACGTCAAACCAAAGCAATGCTGCTCTCGCCACCAGGAGGTTTGCGTACACCACCAAAATACTCACGAGAGGCTACCTTCCCATCAGCAAATATATCGCTGCCGCTCATCTCCTTCAGTTTTGCAGAGCTCAATGGCTTCTCAGCTGACTCCGAAGCAGCTTCGCTCTTAAAGATGTCATTACCAGTTAGGTCCTGGAACTTCTGGTTGCTGATTTTCTTAGATGTCTTCAGTACAGGTTGCTCGCTGAACATTATGTTGCTTTGGCCACCAGCAGGCTGAAGCTCATTATTGAATAAAATAAGCAAAAGATGGCATAAACAACATGGAGAAGGATGAAATAAACATTTATGCGTCTGCAAATTTGAGTCTATAACAAGCTTATCTATTAGCCTGGGCTATGAGAAATTTGTAAATAAAGATATGCGACTTGTAATCCAATGGAAATCATCATCTGATATTTACATTTAAAGAAAAACTGCATTGCTTAATTAGTAAAACTTGTAATACACGAAGCTTCGATTTTTATTTACGGAAAATCATACGATACATTATTCGAGTAATGGGAAACCTGAACTAAGTTTTGTTGTGACACATGCCATAACATAAATGATGTCTACCCATTTATTATCACACACACACACACCGCGGCCAGCATGAATCTCAAGAAGATCCAATGATCAAGGAGGGCCCGCTAACGGGAGACCAAAGGACCAAGGAACGTCCAATGATTTAGGAGACTGAAAAGTACGAGGGCCCATTGGCGAGAGACCAAAAGACCAAGGAAATCCAACGATCAAGGAGACGGATGACATTTCAACCAATGTTTCAATAGCCTGTGGATTGCATTCAGGGCTGGAAGAGGGACGTGTGAGTTGGGAGGCAGAGGGCCCAATAACATTTTTACTCTGAGGTTTTAAAATGAGGGTGCAAATGACGACATTGAGAGTGGGAGTGACCATACATACGACAGTGGGTGCAGTAAAGTGAGATCTGTTCGAGTTCTGCCCGCTGCCAAAAACCTTGGTGTTGTGAGTCAATCTAGATCTCCCCCGGAAAAGGTAAAGTAATGTCTCGTTCAATTAAAACTCTGGCTTCAGAAGGTTGAGTCAGATTAACTGTAGGAATATCAGTTTTGAGAGGTTTACCGTAAACCATAGCTAAGAAGAGGAGCTCTTGATCGAAAAGATGGAACTTCAAACCCAGGAAGCGCAGCCATACATAAATGGTAGGAGGTTTAGTGAGAGGTTCAAAATCGACTGTCCATTTTAAAACTTTCATCACACGGTTATCTATGCGAACGAGTCTTCTCGCAAATAAATGGGGATAGTCTTTATCATCTGATAATTGTATGAGAATATGCCTACCGTCCAGTTTACCAATCTTCAATTCCCCTTGCAGCCGCATTTGTTCAAAATCTTTTCGAATTAGCTCGAGTCTGGAGTTTCCATAGAGGAACCTACCAACTAAAACCAGCAGGCAGAATGAAGCTAAGGTGGAGATCTCGGTCTCAGAGAGAAAAATTGCAGGCTTACCATTTTTACGGGATGCTTTTTTGAGAAATCTGGTGTCAATGTCCAACGCTGAAGTATCATGATATTGCTGCGGGAACATATACGAAAAAGGGGCACGAGCGGGGTTATCTACGAGAAGGGCGGCGGCGTAAGAACGGAGCCCCGAGGCCAAATTGACAGAACCCAAATTGATACCCTAACCACCCATCATACAACACACACAGAGATACATGTTTACCCAAAAAAGATTAAAAAGTAGCATAGAAAAAAAGTCTGCCAAAAGTCTATCAACACGCAGATTCAAGTAGCATGCGAAAAATCCAATTTAGCTTTGCCTTTCTCTGGTTCTATGACGGGAGTCAGCTAACAAATTGTTTAGTACCATTACCCAAAACAACTAATGTATCCATCCATCAAGTTTGATAAAAGGCCTCCATTCTCCTCCTTCCTAGATGTATAAACCCGTCATTCTTCATTCGAGAATTGACTCATCTGATCAGCGGATTGGTCCAAAGCTGGCCGAAAAGGTGTAGGTTGTTGCACAGCATGAGCCCCATGTGTTGAGTAACAGTAGCACCTTGGTCTTCCTGATGAGGCGGTAGAACTCAGTAGAAGTATTGCCACACATTACCATCAACAATAGGTTCTAGGACAGGTGAGTTCTGAAGTGTCTCCCCCGCCCCCACGAAAGGAGGTTCCGTAGGCAGAGAATCTACATCATGATTGTGTGGAGGCTGAATGATTGACATATTACCTGCGAAGATAATGACATCTTCAGGAGTATCCTTCTGATGATCAATAGTATCAATAACTTAGAGCAGATCAGGAGGAGGAGGAATCACTGCCTCTGGCTGAGCACTTTGCTTCGTTGGTTTGAGATGAGGGTGTAGATTGTGGCATTTAGAACTGGAGTGGCTGAACATACGACAATTCGAGCAATACGAGGGGAAATGCTCAATCATAATCTTTTTCCATTATCCATGGTATTATGTGCCTAACCAAATTTCCTCAGACGCGATTGAAGTGATGTTCCTTTCAAAAAATACCTTGACTTCAGAGGACGAGAGAGATTAAATGTAGAAATGTTTGTTTTGAGTGGTTTACAATAGAATGAGACAATATAGTACAAAACTTTTTGAGTGAAATAAAGAAATTTTAAGCCAGAGAGGAGAATCCAGATCGGAATGATTGGCGGTTCCGTCTGTGGGTCAAAATCCACTGATCATTTCAAAATCTTCATAGCTCTGTTATCAATCCAGATTAGTCTTCTAGCAAATAAGCGTATGTAATCCTCTTTATTATTTAGTTGAACAAGAATGTGACTTCCATTTAAAAGTCTAATTTTGCACTCCCCAACAAGGTGCTGAATAAGTTCCATTTTGGGATGCCCATAAAGAAATTTTCCGACCAAATCAGACGACAGGAGGAGGCAAGCTGATTACATTTAGCTTCCGTAAAAAAAATGGTCGGCTTCTATTCTTTTTCTTCCTCCTAGATGTATAAACCTGTCATTCTTCATTCGAGGATTGACTAATCTGATCAACGGATTAATCCAAAGCTGGTCGGAAAGGTGCAGACTGTTGCACATCATGAGCCCCATGTGCTTGAGTAACAATAACAACTTGGTCTTATTGATGAGGCGGTAGAAACTCAGTAGAAGTATTGCCACCCATTACCATAAACGATAGGTTTTAGGGCAGGTGAGTTCTGAAGTGTCTCCCCCGCCCCCACGAAAGGAGGTTCCATAGACCGGGAACCTACATCATAATTATGTGGAGGCTGAATGATTGACATATTTCCTGTGAGGATAATGACATATTCAGTAGTATCCTTCTGATGATCAATAATATCAATAACTTGGAGCAGATCAGGAGGAGAGAGAATCACTGCATCTGGCTGAACACTTTGCTTCTTTGGTCTGAGATGAGGGAGAAATGGAGTGGCTGAACATACGACAATTCGAGCAATACAACGGGAAACGCTCAATCACAACATTTTGCCAATATCCATGGTGTTGTGTGTCTAATCAAATTTCCTCAGATGCGATTGAAGTGATGTTCCTTTTAACAAGTAACTTGGCTTCAGAGGGACGAGAGAGATTAAATGCAGGAATGTCCGTTTTGAGTGGCTTACCATAGGCTAAGGCAATAGAGAACAAAATTTTTTGAGTGAAATAATAAAATTTTAGGTCAGAGAGGAGAATCCAGACCGAAATGATTGGTTGTTCCGTCTGTGGGTCAAAATCCACCGACCATTTCAAAATCTTCATAGCTCTGTTATCAATCCAGATTAGTCTTCTAGCAAATAAGCGTGTGTAATTCTCTTCATTATTTAGTTGAATAAGAATGTGACTTTCATCTAAAAGTCTAATTTTCCACTCCCCAACAAGGTGCATACGCTCAAAAAGATGATCGGCAAGCCGATTATATTCAGATGCCCATAAATAAATTTTCCGACCAAATTCAGACGACAGGAGGCAAGCCGATTACATTCAGCTTCCGTAAAAAAGATGATCGGCATCACATTTTTTCTATCAGGTTTCTTAATATCCTCCGTCAACTCAAACGAAGGAGGAAGGAAAGAGCACGATTTAGGAGTACCTGAGGCATGGACACCCGCAAGGGCAGCAACATACGACCTGTCTGAAGCCCCAAAAGAGGGAGGCGCGGCGAAAGGACAACAAAATTACAGTGGAGTGAACGGAAGAGCCCCGTCCAAGTCGAAACAGAGGGCAAAAAAATTATGCTTCGAGCCTAATGAAATCATGGGTCGACGAAATACGAGCCGCAACCGACTTGGGAACAACAAGAAACCGTTGCAACAAACAGAGACCCAAGGAAGAAGACGATGAGAGAGCACGAAGAAGCCAGCAAAAGATGAAACAATTGAAACAAGAGAATTCAGATGAGCAAACAGTTCGCTGTCGAGCACAACGAAGCCAAAGGAGCGAAAAAAATGCAGGAATTAGAACAGGGTTTCGCCCGATGGCAAAAACCTAGTAGAGCAGCCCGTCGACGCCGACGCCGACGCCATTATGGTTATATATGTATATAAACTAGTGTCATGTGCCCCCACAATATAAGACCCCTAATGTGCCTAACAATTCAAGTATCCATTTCCTTAAGGCAAACGTGCCAGAGGGGATTCGAACCCCCGACCTAAGGGGTCTTATACCGTGGATGCCAACCAACATGTCAGGGTACGCGGAGGAAGAAGATTATGATATAAATATATATATGTACACCACACAAAATTGTCCCATTAATATAATAATCTTGGAGATATCCTCTAGAAGATGACTAGAGTTAGGGCTCTGATACTATAAAGAAATTAATTTGTTCTGAAAAAATCCCTCTTCTATTATTAACGACTTAGGCTTATATAGAGCCTTATAATGTTTTAAAAATAAATCCCTAAACTTCTATGTTTCTTATTTACAATAGAACCCTAAACTAGATATAAATCTCTAACAATTTCCAAGAGAGAGATTCTGATAGCTTATAAGAGAGTAACTATCATGGAAGCTAAAACATATATTAAATAATGTTTGAGTGCAACATTATTTTATAATTCGTTTGGTTGAGAATTATTATAACACTTTCAGAAGTTGTTATCTTATACCTCTGCTGCTCAATGTTTGACATTCACATCAATTTATCATATGAAGCTTACAGCAAAAATTTAATGTTTGAAAAACAATCTCAATAGTCTGAACTCTATTATTAGGCTTATATAGAGCTGATAGTCGGCCGAGAGCGAGGATATAGAGCTGGAAAAGGAGTAATCGGAGAATAGCGGTAACTGAAAATGATTGGTGGAAAAAAAAATGAAGGCAGTGCTCATGACTGCCGTGGAGGAAGAAGATTATGAAGAAGACCTCTTGGAGATCTCAGAGAACGTCTTCACTATGAACCATAGCACCTCTGCAGTCACTTAAGCTAAAATAATAAAGATGCTGTTTGTATTCATCATATTTATTTTAGAATTGGAGTTGAATATATTAGTTTCGATAAAAATAGTATTTATGAAAAGAAGAAAGATTTACATGGATATCATTCAATTCTTATGTATTTACATATCTAGTTATAGTGATATTTATTATCGAAAGATTACGATGGCATAAATGTAAAAAAAAAAAAAAAACTTAGCTTAGATGTTAGATATGTAAATACATAAGAATTGAGTGGTATGTATTAGCAAGCCACATATTACTGTAAGTAGAGAGAATACTGCAAACGACAGTGAACAAACTAGGAGGAAGGCATTTCCAAGAAGATGCAAGTTTACTTAAAACGAGCTCTAATGGATTTTGCTACTCAGCATACATTGACAATGAGGGGATGGTTGTTCATCAATGAGCAGAGACAGGATTCTGCCATGTTCAGTGTCCGTTGATCAATGAGAAGGGAATTTTCTGCCCGGCATGTGAAACAGAGAGAACGTGGTTGCCCAATAAAAATGTAATTTGTGATGAGTCACTCCGAAAAATATAAATTTTCTTGGCACGGATACGGTAATCTGTTCAAAAGAAAAGCTGATTTTCACCATCCTCTCTCCCCCTCTCCCTCTCTTTACATTGACGCAGAGAGAGAAAGAGAGTCCTTCAACGGTAAACTTCATCAAAAATTAGCTTTCCTTTTGAAAAGATTACCACATTTGCGAAAAAAAATTTATATTTTCGTGGGTAAATCATTACTCATTATTTTATAAGGCAACATCTTCTCCACGGCCTTCTCTGCTTCGCACGCCAAGTAGAGAATTCCTTTCCCTTTGATCAAAGACACGTAGAACACGATAGAATCCATTCCCTCCTCATTGACAACGTACATTCTCTCCTCATTGATCAACTGACACTAAGTGACAAAATCCATTAGAGTTCGTATGAGGAAAATTTACGTCTACTCCTTATTCCTTGAAACGCCTTCCTCCTAATTTGTTTGTTGTTGTCCACAATATTCTCTCAACCGTTATATGTGGCAGTATTGTAGCATGTAACTTGTTAATATAAACCACCAAATTCTCATGCATTTATATATCTAACATCTAAACTTAGTTTTCTTTTCATTTGTACCACCCTTATCTTTCTATAAAAAATATCACTACTTCAACTTTTAAAAAGTATGCATAAATATAATGGCATTTATATAAAAAAATAAAATTTAGTTGTTAGATATATAAATACATAAAAATTTAATGATATCTGTGTAAATCTTCTTTTTCATTTTAATAAATACTACTTTTACTGAAATCAATATATTTGAGTCCAAATCTAAAATAAATATCATAAAACAAACAACTTAACTTTATTAAGAGAGAGCAAAGTTGCTGGTGCTAAGTGGCATTTGGGGTTAGAACAAGAAGAAATAAGTTCTTTTGAACAAAATAGAGGAACTAAGAAGAATCCAGCCTGATGTAGAAAAAATCTGGAATAAATAAGATTTTAAGATGATAAGAAGGAAATATCAGATACTTCCTCTGCAAACTAAACAAGAAATGTTATCACTGAGTGTGATCTAAGCATGTTTTCTAGTGTTACACGTATAAAAAAAAAAAGAAGTAACATTTCAGTAAAAAGTATATTCACGGCACATGTAATAGTGACGATATTACCAAATAAAAACAAGAAAATTTTATATGTATAACACTCAATTCATACATATTTAGCACCGACATTTCAATTTCTACATACATACGACCTTACATGCTTCCAAATAAAAGTAACATTTCAGTAAAAAGTATATTCACGGCACATGTACTAGCGACGATATTACCAAATTAAAACAAGAAAATTTTACATGTATAACACTCAATTCCTATGTATATACATATTTCGCGCCCACATTCCAATTTCTACATACATACGACCTTACATGCTTCCAAATAAAAGTAACATTTCAGTAAAAAGTATATTCACGGCACATGTACTAGCGACGATATTACCAAATTAAAACAAGAAAATTTTACATGTATAACACTCAATTCCTATGTATATACATATTTCGAGCCCACATTCCAATTTCTACATACATACGACCTTACATTAGCATGAACAGGCATACTTCACTTTTAAAAAGTTAAAATAATGATATTTTTGACATGATACAAAAGATTTGGGTGGTATGTATGTAAAAAAGCAAAATTTAGGTGTTACTTATGTAAATATATAAGAATTGGGTGGTATGTATGTAAATGCCCCTAAAATTAAACTATGAAATCTTGCGACTTACATTGGATACTTCAACTGATGTGAGCATGATTTCAGGTGCAGGGTCTCCGAAATCTAGCTGTCCTTTCAATTCCAAATTACGAGCAGCTAAAGGCCTGACAGGAATTTCAGGAGGAGGGCCAAAAATATCATGGCCACTAAGCTCTTTGTTCTTTGCATCAGATTGTTGTTTTTTCATTTTATCCTCTACAGCACTCTCAAGATTCCCACTTAATTCCCGTTGCTTTGCCACCTCTGGTAGTGAGGTGGGTTTCCTTGGGGAAACAATCTCGTCAGCACTAAACGAAATTTGGCTGATACTGCTTATTGCTTGCTGAATCAAATAAGAAATTGAATTTTAGCCTTGCAGAATATTGAGAATGATTCATTGAAAAATGATTATATAAATTTGACTGGGGCAATTAGATATGTATGATGAGGGATAAAAAAATGAATTCATAAAAGGATATATACAATTAGTTTAGAAGAATTATGAAGAAAATTTTATGGGCTTGCTTGGTTGCAAGTATTCTGAACTCGTGCATTATAATGCAAAGTACATGCAATGTGGTATGATTATTTAGAGTTGTTTGATTGCATTTAATGTAAGCGCAGAAAATTATATTTTCTATTTAATTGGAGGTAAAGTTCAAAGTCTGATACACCACAAGAAGTATAAGAGTATTAAAGAGCATTAACATAAAAAGAGTTACAGGAACATCAGCATGTGCAAAACCAAGAAACTGCTTCTTTTTTACCTGGCAACTAGCAATTTTCATATATTTCTTAGACTATCATGTACGGATATAGAGCCCAACATCACCACCCAAATAAATTCTTCTCTTTCTATAACAGCCACAAACTCAAATAGTACTATGGACTCGTTAACATGAACTCAAACCTCCAAAGATGACAAGCACCCTATGTGAATCTCCTCAAGCAGAACGAGATGAACTTCTAAACATCGAGGTGCCTTTTAATGTTACAATTGTTATTTCATCATAAACTCCAAAGTTAAGCATGCTTGTGTTGGAACACTCCAGGATGATTAACCTATTGGAAGTTACGTTCATGGAACAAAATCGTGATGCCATTAGGCCAAACCGAATAGTATCTCGATGGATGAGAGACTCGTTGAGAGTTTATGTTGTTACATGAGGGTGTTGGACTCAAGATTGATGACTTGTCCTACAATGAGGCCTTACATATTGATGCAACGAGCAAGATCTGCCAAAAAGCGGACGAAGGAATAAAGTACTTTAATGTAATAGTAGTTGGCAATGGTAAGCTATAAGGCTTGGCTGAGGGCAGCATAGATGAAAAAGAAATTACTGAAGGGAAGGCGAGGCGAGAGGTCCCCGTTGTCCATGCAGCGTTGTGGATGAGTGGTAGGTGTGGATCATCCCAATGGTGCAAGTGGAGAGCATTCTAGGGACAAATTACGACACAAGAAACTATAGCAATTCAAGCTAGTTTATTTTGTAATGATAAGTCTCTTTCTACATATTTTAAATACTTCAAAAGTTTATGAACTAATTTTACTTGATATCACATATACGCTAAGTTAAAACCATGCAATTCTTTTACTTCACACTCAAAGTATCTCCTACCAAATAATCTTTTATTAATTGGACTTATTAGGTGTTATATCTTTTCTTACCTATTATTTCTTTTTTATTGTCTTTTTTATTCTAGAATTCATGTAAGAGTTATTTATACCTCTTTTATATCAATAAAAATAGTCCGCTTTATTCTGAAAATCAACATAATATCAGAGCCAAATTTCCTACCTAGCCAATGGTCATCCTTTTATGGCCACCGGACTCCCTTCCTGCCATCCTCCCTACTGGAAGGGAGTGAGTCTCCACCAAAGCTAGTCGCCATAATCGAAAATCCTAAAATAGCTATGAGAAGAACCCTAGAGAAATCAAGGTGAATCATCTGGCGATTCCTTACGTTTCTTCTCCTTGTCGTCAGCGACAAGGAGCTCGACAGAGCCTCTTCACTTATCGTTGGGTGAATTGGAATGAAACTTATCTGATTAGGAGCTCCAAAAGACAGCGTATGAGATCTTTGTCGCCGTAAAATACAGCTAAAAAGCCGCTGACATACATTTTTTCTTTGGAAAGAGCGACAGCTGCATCGGGATTGGTGACGTCGTCACTACGACAGAGATCTCTAACTTTGAAAGTTGTCGCCAAGGTGAAAAAAGCGTTGGGGCTTAAATTGTTGCAGAAGAGCCCCAGAAGGAAAGCAACCCCTCTAGGATGGTGAAGAAGCCAATGGCAATTGGGGAGCTCATGAGGGTGCAGATGCGAATGTCAGAGAAAACTGATTCGTGGATTCGACGCTAGCTGCTCAGGATCAATGCTAGCCGGCTTAGGAGACATGTAAAATCATTCATTTTGCCACTAGAGTTAGAGCAAAAATTTAAAGCCTTTAGTTTTCCAGACCTGCAAGAGTATGAAGGAGAAGCGGAAATTTGAAGCTTCTTGAAACTCGATTGCTTCTAAACCCTCTCAAAAAGGCTTAGGCAGATCATACGTGGAGCTTCAGAGAGGTTAATAGTGACTAGAAAGAATTCCAAAGCCTTTCCCGTCAACCTACCTGCTGCCGACAGACCTGATACCAGGACCGTCGGATCTACTCCTCCAGCGGTTCTCTCCCTGCAGCCTTTCACGCCGCCAAACCTCCCTCCTATAGGTTTTTCCTGCCGCCGGATCTACCTCTATAGATTTTCCCATATAGATTTCGGTCAGTTGTATCTCTTCCCTGAAGGTCCCCTCACAGCCAGAAATCATCTCTTCCGGCTTAAAAACTTTCCTCCATACCTTACAGACACCTTCCTGCAGGCTGCAAATTCCTGTTGGCTGCAAATTCTGGCAGCCACCTCTATGGCGCCCTCCGCCATTTCACATACATGGATTTTGTAAATGAAAGGAAGCTTGTTACAGATGACTTCATCTTTGATTTGTTTTCAAAACAACTTGTGAAAGGTTATTAGGCAAGACTGAATTTATTCCTGAATGGAATCCGAGTAACCGACCTATATGTCCTTCTTAGTCAGTTTTTTTTTACCATCAAAAACTCTATACAGACCTTCATCCGGAACTTTTTTCTGCAGCAGGTCCACCATGTGAACTTTTTGTTGCAGCGAACTCTCCTCCGAAGTATTTTCCTATAGCAAACCCTCCTCCGGAGCTTTTTCTGTAAAAGGCCCTCCTTTTGGAAATGAAAGGAAGCTTGTTACAAATGACTTCATCTTTGGTTTGTTTTCAAAACAACTTGTGAAAGGTTATTACAGAGGCAAGACTGGATTTATTCTTGAATGGAATCCGAGTAACCGACCTATATGTCCTTCTTAGTCAGTTACTTTTTTACCATCGAAAACTCTATACAGACCTTCCTTCGAAACTTTTTTCTGCAGCAGGCTCACCATGTGAACTTTTTGTTGCAGCAGACTCTCCTCCGAAGTATTTTCCTACAACAAAGCCTCCTCCGGAACTTTTTCTGTAGCAGACCCTCCTCCGGAGCTTTTTCTTGTTTCATGTCCTCCTCCAGAGTTTTTTCCTGTATCAGACCCTCATCTGGAGCTTTTCCTGCAACAAGTCCACCAAAATTCTTCCTATAGCAGGTCCTCCTCCGAAGCTTTTTCCTACAGCAAACCTACCTCCGGAGCTTTTTCTTTTTTTCTGCGAGTCATATCATGCAGCTTTTTTTGGATGTTGTCTACCTCCCTGCAAACTCTTCTGCAACATTACCCATAGAAGCTTTCCACCTACCAATAGACACTGCAGGAACTCCAATGAAAGACAACCACAGTTAACTTGAAGTCAGTTTTTTTTTTTGCAGATTATCAACATCCCTGCAAACACCCTGTAGCATTATCTATATAAGCATTCGCTTACCTACAAACACTATAAACTGCAGTCAACTAAAAATTAAATTTTCCTGCAGATTTTCTACTTCCCTACAAACTCCCCCGCAATACTACCTGTGGTGGCCTTTCGGCCTATCTACAGACGCTGCAAAAACTGCATTCAAAGACAACCGTAGTACGGGATGAAGACTTCAAGTTCTACTTCACAGGATCTTGCTCGCCTTTTATTTGATATCTTCAAATCCAGGTTGAACATGGTTTTGAACCATGTTCCAACTTGAGGGAGAGCGTTAGAAGTTATATTAGAAAATAATTTATTTATGTTAGAAGTTATCAATATTAGATTGATTAATTGGAGATATCAGGTGTTATATTTTTCTTTTCTTGTTCATTCTTTTTTATTATCTTTCCTACACACACACACACAAATATATATATATATATATATGCATGTATCTATATATATATACATACATACATACATATACACATATATATACATACATATACACACACATATATATATATATATATATATATATGTGTGTGTGTGTGTGTGTGTATATGTATGTATGTATATCCTCACCTTTTTTGAATTTTTGTATCCATCTCCCTCTTTCTTCCATCTATATAACACTCTTAATTTGCCTTTAAACTATTATCATTCTTCATCGTCATTGTTATTTTCATCATTACTACCATCACTACCAACATCCATAAAGTCGTGACTTGATGGACCTAGTCACAACCATCCTTGTCATCATCATTGCATGTACTATAGTTTTCAGGTAAACATGGTGGTGCCTACTTTGTACGCACCTCTCTCTATTCAAATGAGTCATAGCCTAGCTCTTGGATATGAATTTCAAATAACTCAGGTTCAAAATTTAGTTTTGAAACTAAGTCTAAGAATTTGAGATTGAGAGTTTCAAGACTTTTCTGTTCCAACATTGTAGGTAAAACTAGTACAAGGACTGGTAATTAGATCTCACAACAATAGATGTGAATACACCAAATACTTCCATTGCAACAGTTATACATACATAGATAAAAGAGAACAATATACATAGAAAACAACCCTAAAATCACTTCTAAACTTGTGTGTGTTCTTCAAAAAAAGAATTAAAATCATAAGCCTTAAGCTAAAATAATTATTTGATTTTAACAGAATTGGGATGTTTTTTGATAAAGGAGTTACCTGATAAACTTTTACTCTTGTTCTATAATTGAGATTTTTCAAGGTGCCAGAATCTGATATGTCATCTTCGCCAGCAGTTGAAAAAATACCGCTACCGATCATCTCTTTCAACTTAGGACCAGAGAATGGTTTCCTATCAGTTCACAAAAGAATTGTTAAAAGGATAAAAGATAAATGAATGATAATTGAGTAGAATAAAATTTTCTAAACATAAAAATCCACAATAGTATTTAAGAGCCATGAAAATTACCATTAGCTAATCCAAAAATTGATAAAGATAATTTAGCAACCTAATAATATAGACATGTTGCAATGGAATATCGTAAAAAAAATCCAACTTTATTTTTTATCAATTAAATTATATTTAGGGTTGTTAAATAAACCAATGCATTTATTGTTTTTGCTTTAACTTTGAATTAAATAAGTTACTCTTTTCAAATTCTTGAAAGATAAGAGAACCAAGTTTGAATATTTCCTAACTCATTTATTTAATGTTCAAAAACTAGTTAGTTTGTTATTTAAAAGCTTTAATAATTAAGTTCTACGATAAATCATATATTATTAAGTAAAATTAATTAAGTATAATATGTCTAATTATTTATTAATAGCAACATATCATATAATTATTTATTGTTTTAATTCTCGTCTCTTATTTCTAGAATTCATCTCTCATTCCATGCTTTTATGTACTATCTATCATTTTCAATATCCATAGTTGAACGCCTGCTTGAGCAATAGAACACTAGGGTCAAAATTTTTGTGAGCGAGCAACTATAGGCGATATAGGCGCGCACATCTTTTACCCTCATTTTCAAATTGACTGTAGATGTTAGAATTATTTAAGAAACTATTTTATTTGTTAATTAAAAGCTTGATGCGGGGCGTGATTTCTGAACCGATTCAGGAGGGAGCCGGTTCAATAGGGAGGCTGGACAAACCAACCAAGCTTGTGAGCGAGAGATATCGCCCCTTTCTCCCTTCCCGTTTTTGTTTATTGCCCCTCCTCCCTTTCCGTTTCTATTTATTGCCCCTCCTCCCTTTCCTTTTTTGTTTGTCGCCTAAGGGATGTCACTTTGTTGCTCCTTCCTCCTTTTCCCTTTCTGTTTACCGCCCCTCCTCCCTTTCTTTTTTTGTTTGCCTCCCAAGGGGTGTTTCTTTGCCGCCCAAAGGGGAGAGACCTCCCTTCCAGACTATCCTCCATTATATAGTTGTTGTTTGTTTGTTTTGGACAGCTTTGGATTGATTTTGCTTTCAAATTTCAGCCCCTAGGCTTTCTTCCCAAGCTAGGGTTGTATCGGATGAGAGTTGGTGCTCCGGCTATATCCTGCTCCGAGGTGACCTATTCCCCTGCATATCCCTCTCACCTACACGCTGTTCTTCAGCCGACACCCTCACCTTCCCTGACCAATCGTTGCTTTCAATATCCATAGTTGAATGCCTGCTTGAGCAATAGAACAAAAGGGTCAAAATTTCTGTGAGCGAGCAACTATAGGCGCTATAGGTGCGCACATCTCTTACCCTCATTCTCAACTTGACTGTCGATGTTAGAATTATTTAAGAAACTACTTTATCTGTTAATTAAAACCTTGATGTGGGGTGTGATTCCTGAACCGATTCAGGAGGGAGCCGGTTCAATAGGGAAGCTGGATCGACCAACCAAGCTTGTGAGCGAGAGATACCGCCCCTTTCTCCCTTTCTGTTTCTAGTTATTGCCCCTCCTCCCTTTCCTTTTTTGTTTGCCGCCCAAGGGATGTCGTTTTGCCTCTCCTTCCTCCTTTTCCCTTTCTGTTTACTGCCCCTCTTCCCTTTGCTTTTTTGTTTGCCTCCCAAGGGATGTTGCTTTGCCACCCAAAGGGGAGAGGCCTCCCTTCCAGACTATCCTCCATTATATAGTTGTTGTTTACTTGTTTTGGACAGCTTTGGATTGATGCTGCTTTCAAATTTCAGCCCCTAGGCTTTCTTCCCAAGCTAGGGTTGTATCGGATGAGAGATGGTGCTCCGGCTATATCCTGCTCCAAGGTGACCTATTCCCCTGCATATCCCTCTCCCCTACACGCTGCTCTCCAGCTGACGCCCTCACCTTCCCTGACCAGTCGTTGCTTTCCTGTCCCAATTCTTGTTGCTGCTTTCTCGCCCAAAGGAGAGGCCTCCCTTTCTATCCTCTCTTCCTTTATATAGTTGTTGTTTACTTTCTTAGGGCTCAGTTTTGGATTGATTCTGCTTTCAGATTTCCGACCCAAGGCATTCTTCTCTAGCTAGGGTTGTATAAGATGATAGGTGGTGCTTCGGCTATATCCTGCTTGGAGGTGGTGACTATCCCGACATATTCCCCTACATATTCCTCCTCCCCTGCACTTCCCCCGCTGGAGCAAGCTCCCTTAAAGCTCACCACCACCCCTCCAAGACCCCATCGTCGCTACCTGACGGGCCATCCTGATTTGCCCTCGCCGAGGATTCTTGTTGTGTTGTCTTTTCTTACCTAATTTGAGCCTTGTTTGTAACCTCATTAGCTCAGGTTAACTTCGTTATCAAAGCTTTAATAATTAAGTCTACAATAAATCATACATTATTAATTAAAATTTGTTAAATATAAAATGTTTAATTATTTATTAATAGCAATATATCATATATTTACTTATTTTTTTAATTCCCGTATCTTAATTCTAAAATTCACCTCTCATTCCATACTTTTACGTACTATAATTTTCAATCTCCATAGTTGCGTAAGGTTGCCTGTTTGAGCAACGAGACACCAAGGTCAAAATTTATGTGAGCGAGCAACTACAGGCGATGCACACATCTCTTACTCTCATTCTCAGCTTGACTGTAGATGGCATGTCAACAATTACTCCATGAGCACACCATATTAGCCCAGAGGGTAAGAGGCCAGAAGGAGGTTAGGACTAATAAGGGCTTCAAATCCTACAACCATCACTAAAAATTTATTCCAATGTCTTGGTCCTCAATTCGAAGCAAATGCTTAATATTTTTTCTTTTACTTTACAAAGCACATCAAAATAGTTATTTCATTTATTTTGCGAAAAAATATACTTTTAGCTTTCAAGCATGCATACAACATCAGAAATAAATAAATCACACAAAATTGAATATAAAAAATAATATATTTTACCATGTCACATCAACATGATAAAAGATATTGCTAGTTGCTTATATTGTAGTATAATATTGAATATTATGTTTAATTTGGTAGTTAGTTCACATGCCATGATAATATTAATAGTTCACAACCTCTAGCTTTTAATTTGCAACCAGTCAATTCGTCTCCAGTGTTGGCTTGATCAAACCAAAATGAAAGACTTCACCGTGATGGAACTAAAAATTGATATTGTAAAGGTAAAATACAATCATTACAAGTTATATATGAATAAAAGTAAAGATGGTGCAATAAATCAATATAAACAGCAATTATAAACTTGTCCAAGAAAGAAAAAAGGATAGATGCACTTCGCTGTGCTAATCTATAGTGGAAGTGTAATGGAAGTCCTGAAGTATAACAATGATAAAATTTATATGGAGTATATCCCATGTGATCATTAACTTTCATCTTTACAATGGAATGCTGATGAATGTTAAGTATGTCTAATGCCACTTCTTAAGATTTTAATAATTCACAACCTCTAGCTTTTAATTTATAATCAGTAAATCAACATTTATTCTAGTGTAGGCTTTTCCATTGATAAAACCATTAATGACACTAAAGAGGCTGCTGTAGTTGATGCGGTTACAAATGTTGCTGAGTGTTCTGAAAATTGTTAATGAAAAAAGTAAAAAAGACCCCTTTAAAACAAGAAAGAGAGAATTTTAGAAGTTTAGAAAGATATCATTATGGTAAAATTAAAAATTGATGTTGAAAAGGCAAAATACAATCATTGCAAGTTATATGAAAGTAAAAATAATGATGGTGGAACAACTCAATATAAAAAGCATTTATAAACTTGTCCAAGAAAGGAAAAGGATAAATGCACTTTAGTAAGGGACAACCAACCCTAAATTTGATAGTGAAAATGTAGTGCAAGCTTGGAAGAATAACAATACAAAAATTATAACTAGTATATCCCAAATGAGCATAATTCACAAGTTGACTTTTGTTTTCATAGAATATATAATTTTTAAGAAGTGATAAAAGCAGCCAGACTATATTATCGCAGAATTTCACACGCAATGGCTAAACAGCATTATATTAGTAATTAAAAGGCCAAAAGAAAAGTTGGAATGGTTGTTGAGTTCAATTCAAATAATTAGCCATAAAAAATAGTTGTCACTAAATATTTTGTTAATGAGGAATGAAAATTACACATGGGATCTTAAATTTTGTTTGTGTTAGTCCATCACATACTATAATTTAAAGTATCTCATTTATTATTGATTTTCTTAGGTATTATCTTAACTTTTATGAGAGAGATCAAAGTGAATCATTTGATGTAAGCTTATTTTTCATGGAATGCTTTTTATCTAAGTAAATACTAATATTTATTTTTTTAGCTTTCTAATTTTTTTAAATCAATTATTCTATTATTAGTATATCTACATAGTGATTTGATGCAGTCCCTTCTTATCTCTAAATTTTAACAAAGATGGATGGAATTTAATTATGCCATACGATCACAAAAAAAAAACTTATCCGTAATTTATTTATTATGATTTTTAATTTATGCTTGTTAAATTATTGTCAAGAGATGATAATTCCAAGTTTATTGAATTCCTTGTTCATTCGGGCTTGTGAAATTATTTGTTAATATAAGAAGTCAAAGAATTGAACCTTTTTGTATCTTTGCTATCAACCCATTTAATCTCTTATTTGCTTAATTTTAAAAAATCAAGCATAAACCAATCATGATCATAGAGAAGTCTAAATAAATCTAGCAAAAGCATATGCTCTGACCGAACATGCACAATTTTTAGTATGGCCAAACTAAATCTTATCAATGATGTGTTCGGTTCAGCTTGATTACAACCCTATTTTATTTATTAACTTTATCCACGATGTGATCCCTTCTTATTTCTCAACTTCCATAAGTAATTTGGTTGGTATTTAATTATGTCATATGATCACAAAAAAAAATTGTACATAATTTATTTATTATGACTTTTAATTTATGATTGTTCAATTAG